TGGCTGGCACTGACTTCGAAAATATCTGATTAGGTATCTATTCTAAATGAAAACCTCCGTTTAGTTATTTTATACATTTTAGTGCCTGGGAGTCGGTTTTTTTAAGTTTTTATTTCCTTAATTCATCTGAATGCAGCCGGGATAGTGATTAATACAAACATAATAATCTCGTATAACAATCGAATTTGCCAACTGTGACGAAAAACGATGAGAAAATGATGAGTCTTCATTTTATTACTAAATTAACATAAGTTTAAATAATTAAAAGATTGTAGTAAAATAATATAAAAAAAAATACAGAAAAAATAAGTTTAAGAACCTTGAACATTTTTAACATCTAATTGGATATTACATCAAACAAATTTATCTTAATTTTGTTAATTATAATACTGTATACAAAGTAAGGAATTTCTTAATCTAGCATATGTAAAATTTAATACAATAATAAGTGAAAAATTAAGCTTTAACAGAATAAGATGTTATCTTCTGTGCAATCATAAAATTGGAAGTGTGTATTCAATAAGTATTGCTATACAAAGTTGTAAGAGCTTTTTTAACGTTGGGAAATGCATTTACGCACGAGGTGTGGGACTCACCGGCGTAATAAAGCCAGTACTACCCACTAAAACCCAACAAAACCTTCCCCCGTCTTAATGGGGCATCGCAGGATCGCTTACGTATTCAACTACGACGCCCCGACGGCAGGTCTGCCGAAGCAGGCCACCACAACCAAGGGGCTGCTCCAAGGTCCACTCTGCTATCAGAGAAGTACCAGGAGCAACCTCCCTGTGCGTTTCTTGGCTTCGCGCCCGGTTGGGTTGCCGGGCACTCCTGAGCCCCCCCACCACGACAAGGTGAACGCACGTTGGGGGGGTACATATACCATATGGATACATACAAAGATTCACCTAGTACGCACTAAAACTCAACGGTACCTCACCTGTCTTAATGGGATGTCGCAGGTTCGCTTACGGATTCAACCACGGCGTCTCGAAAACAGGGTTGTCGAAGCAGACAACAAACTAGGGGTGCTTCCCAGGCTCTGTTATCAGAGAAGTAAAGAAGTACCAGAAGCCCGCATGGTATACCGCCCACCGAGGTGGGCCTCCCATTGTGTCTCTTACCTTCATGCCCGGCTGGATTGGCGGAAGCTAAATAATGCCCCCAAATGTTTAACACTAAATAAATATTTCAGTTTTATTTTAATGTTAGATATAAAGTGTATTTTTTTGTCTGAAGGGTTGATTTTTTCATTTTAAACTGTAGCTAAAGCTGTAAACTTCGGTTCAGTGGTGGGTAAAGTCGTAAGCAGTGGCTAATATAAAATTATTAATTATCGCAGTTTACCACAGAATCAAAACGTAAGCTTACAATAAGTTTACCATATAGGTTATAAGCTAACTTAACCTCGTCTAGTTTCCGCATTCATTTATATTCATATAACTTATTATAATAAGCTAATCTAAAAGCATTATAATTATTCTTGCACATATTGTGTTTTTCTCAATATAATATGCAAGACTTCTTAAGAAATCATAATCTTACTTTGCACGATTCGGAAAAGAAGCTATGGATGGAACAAAATAGATTTCAAAATGTTGCTTCGTTTAATACTTGTTAAATTAAATATGCCAAAGGCACCATGGTATTAACCATGATTAAATCACAATATAAAATTCTATATAGTTTCTAAGTAAGTTAATGTGAAGGGTAAACACCCAAAATGTAAATGGAATCAGCCATAACTGAAGTGGAAGGCGTCCATTTATAGCCGGTTATTGATGTTTATGCATACTAACCGGCGGGTAAAAAGCTTTTCCATTATAATGTCAAGATCTACTTTCTTAGGACCTCTAAAGGCTCTTAAATATACGGAATACTGTCAGTATTAGATATGCTTTAAATATAGAAAGACGTTATAATATAACTCTATGATTACAACAGCCTTGAATAAATATATATCTATATTTAATATTATAAATAACGCAGTGGTAGCCCAATGGTAACGTGCTCGTTTGGGAAACCAAGTGAAGCTGGTTTAAATCCCGGGTCTCGCGCCTCTTATATTTTTATGGGTGAATCATTTCTAACATGATTGTAACTTGCCTTATGGTGAAGGAAAACATCGTGAGGAAACCGTATGTCTGAGAGAACCTGGCAAGTTTTCGAAAGACATGTGAAGTCTGCCAACCCGCACTTGGCCAGCGTGGTGGACTATGGCTTGATACCCCTCGTATTGAAGGGAGGCTCGTGCCCAGCAGTGGGACGTTAAAAATGGCTGAATACAATATTATTAATGCGAAAGTTTGTGAGGATGTCTGGATGTATAGATGTGTGGATATTTGTTACTATTTCACGCAGAAACTACTTAATGGATTTTAATGAACTATACAATAATATAGCACATACATGAGAATAGCACATAGGCTACTTTTTATCCCGGAAAAATGTACGGTTCCCGTGGGATAGATTTTTTTTTGTTTTTCTAGAGGAGAACTCGAGTGAAACGATGGTGAGCAACTAGTAATCAAATAAACATACTATAGGATAACAAGATACTAGTTTTTGACAGTAATATAATACTAATAATGCACTACTGAATTAGCATATAATCTTTAGATTAATATTATTTATTGGTTTTGAAAAAATATATGTCATTTTGAAGTTTTGGTTACGTTTCCGTAATTCCCCTTTAATAAATTGGGAATAGAAGTATGTAGTACTCGTATATTTTCTTCTCGACTGATGTTGAGATAGAAAAGAACTGAATTCCACATTTATAAAAGATATAAGTAAATATAATAGTTAAAATGTTATATAATAACATAATTTATTTAAGTCGTAATAATTAATTAATTAAGTAATAATAATTAATTTTTGTGAAAAAATTAAATAAAGGTGTTGAAATTTTATTGAATACGCGCTGATATGCTAGTAATATTAGTTTTAGTACGCTAATGAACGTTTTTCGATCTATGTAGGCTTCTATTCCTTAAAAGAAATACAATAATTATCAAAATCATTTTTATAAACATTAAGTTTCAATAAAAAAAGACGTAATGCTTATAAGACTGTTATAATAAAAAAATGTAATTGAACAAAACTTTTATTTACATGATATTCAGAAAAATTCTTACTTGCAAATATTTGTATGATACTGTTTATACTAGTTATTTTTTAATATTAATGTTATTTAGCATAATTATATTGTAGACCAAAGAAATACCATCATAACTATGGTTAAATTAATTTATTTAATGTTGGTTATATTAATTTATTTAATTTAAAATATGGTGGATCATTATTAAAGTAGATTTTTATATACAGTAGAAATTTTATTTGTAATATAGTAGACAGTTATATGGACAAGGCGTCATGTTTGCGGCTTTCCTTTAATGAGAGTGTTAAGTCCCGCACCATTATTGACATCACTCACACCTGATGGTGTTAATGACGGCCATTAAATGCTAATGGAATAATTTACCCCGTACTTGAAATATTGCTAAGTAATTTTTAATAATGCAAAGATTTAATCAATATACATGTAATAAAATAGTAACAAAGTAAGACCTGTACATGAAATATTTTTTTAAAACAATGACTTACGTAGTATACAGAATATATACTAAAACAAAGTTAACATTTTGGTCTGTATTTCTGTTTACTTTTCATGCAAAAAGTATTGAACTAACTTTAACAAAAATTTGTGTAGTGATAACTTATTAGTCTGGACCAACAATTAGGATACCTTTTACTACAGGAAAACCTTTCATTCCTACGGAAAAACACAATATTAGGTTCTGTTGAGTCGTCCGTGAGAAATTTAAATGGCTATAATCGCTGGCTAAACCTTAAGATATACATCAGATTAACGTAATAGAAAATTGTAGATCTCAAACAGGCCTACAGAAAAGTCCGAAATAGCTTAAGTCTATCTCCTAAGAGGCACTCGAAATAACTATTTTTATTTATTTAAAACTAGAACTACAGACGCACCCGAGCGAAACGAAGACAAGTTGCTAATTAAAATAAATATAACCAGACACCAGTTCTTTATTAGATGAAATGAAATTTGTTAGATTTTAAGTTTTATTTAAAGTTAAATAATTACCTTAAAAGGCTAATACTCTAATATAAAATTTCGACCTAAAAACTATTCATATGCAAAAAATCACCCTATGCATTGTCATGTTGCTGAGTTAAATCACAAATAAAGTAAAAATATTACATATTTATTATATTTACATTTAAAGTAAGGATTTAAGCTTAAAAACAATTTCAACGCTTAATTTCTGGCATTTCTTTGATCTACAATATAAATATGCTAAATAACATTAATAATAAAAAAAAAGTATAAACAGCATCATACCAATATTTGCAAGTAAGTAATAAAAATACCGTTCAATTAGATTTTTTATTATAACAATTTATGAACATTACGTTTTATTTTTTATTGAAATTTAATGTTTATAAAAATGATTTTAATAATAATTATTGTATTGCTTTTAAGGAATAGAAGCCTACATAGATGGAAAAACGTTCATTGGCAAACTAATATTACTAGCATACCAGTGCGAGTAACCACATATGTATGTAGATACAGTAAACTGTAAATTAAGTTTATAATAAACAAATATTAAACGGAAAAATTTAATTTTAAAATTATTTATATTCTTAATGAAATAATAAAACAATTCGTTTATTAATAATTAAGTTTAATCATATGTTTGTTATAAGCTACATACATAACTACTATTGATTTTAAAAAAACTACTCAGTAATAACAGGCTTGGATTTTTTCTATTTCCTTATTATGCGCTTCACTCAAACATCTGCACATAAAATGTGTTGAATTACCACTTTGAATCGGAAAACACAAAATAAAACACGTATCCAACCAGTTTCAAATGCGTTTATTTGAATTTTTAAATCATCGAACCACACGTTTATTTATTCGTATTGCTTAATATTTAATAATAATTAATTATAACAGAAGTCTAAGGTATCTCTTCATCCTGTAGATCTGTAAACATGTTGATGTCTGATTCCGACTGTCCTTCTCGGTTGATATCATTAATATATTTCAAATTTGACTCGAAGATTTTATAACGTTTTTCATATTCAGCCTTATCTTTGTAATCCTTGTGATAATCTATAACGAATTTGTCGAATAATTGTCGCGCTTGTCTCAGATCGTATATAGGAGGTTTAGATTCGTCCGATTCTGATTTATCATCGTAGAGCGTTTCGTCATCTTCATATTCAAAACTTTTAACTGCACTTATTACTAGGACACATATAGCTAATAAAAGAATTGTACGATTCATATTTAAAGACACGCGTTTCACGCGAAGAATAGGATGCGTCTGTTCAAATTTCCTACCAAACGTCGACCTCGAGAAACTTGTTTATATGCGTATCAAAGGTTACATTTGTATCCGAACTATATCGAATTATGAATAATATTGATCGTATTATCTACATCGAATTGTAAATAATAACGATTATTTTTGTATAGAAACTAGCATAGCTCGCGGCTCCGTCCGCGTTTAAATGACCGGAAACCCATTTCTTAGGTTTACATATTAATAAAATATACCAGTTTAACTTTTATCGCATGATTGAGTAAAAATGGCGGTGATTGGCTTTAATCTCATATTTAAAAACAACATTTAAAGTAGGTATGTTGTTGTTGTAACTTTACATTTACACTAATATTATAAAGAGGAAATATTTATTTGTTTGTAGGCGATTAACTCTCAAATTACTAAACTAAATTAATTAATAATAAATAAAAAAAAATAATTATTTTACTAAGAGATGGTCACTAATATCGAATACCAAAATTTACGATTTTACTTATTTATACATACATGTACACCAGCCAGATTCATTGTGCACCGCAAGATTAAATAAAAAATGGCGGTGAGTGGTCTTGCCTTGCCACTAACGATCCTCTTTTAATTCCATGTTTAATTTAGTTATATGTCAATTTTCGGAATAAAAATCCACAGATCTCGTGTCTGCCACGACCTTAGAGTACATTGAAAATGAATCTGCCAAATGAATTGAATTAAATTTTTAACACATTAATTACTAGCAGAACAACCGATCTTGTCCGCGTTCGGCTATAAAAAAGTATTTGGATGCATAAAGATAATATCTATACATATAATAAAACTGTTAAGGTCGAATGTCTGTACATAAAAAAAATATGCTAACAACCGAGTCAGGAGGATGTAAAAGAGAAATGGAACAAATCCAGATTTTTTCAATTTTTTTGTTTCTCTGTTTGTCTGTTTGTACGGGCTAATCTCCGAAACTGTAGGACTGATTTAAATGAAATATTGCATGGTGGTACCTTATATCTCCGGTCAACATTTTAAATACTTTTCATCACGGATAATTAAATAATTCCGTGGGATAGTTAAAAATCTACAGCTTAGTACACAAAAACTACTGATTGGATTTTAATGAAATTGTGTTACTTCATACATCACAATAACAAATAGGCAACTTCTTATCAAGATGACTTACAAAATAGGTAAAATATAATTATAAATAGCTTTACTTGAAAAAACTGTTTCAATAGCGATATAAATAAATAAATATGGTGCGGATTTTTGTTACTTGCAATGTATTTGTATAGAAAACACAACAACAACTAGGCTAGTTCTTTGATGTCTAAAGCATTCCAGTTTATTTCCTTGAAAGTGTCAACATAGATATTTTTACAAAGAATAAAAAATCTTTTATGTAACAGTTACCAAAGTATTCTTTGCGCTATAATAGATCTTAGCTTTAATATCATTTTGACCTGACACAGTCGAGGACAACAAAAGTAACGGCAGACATATCTGAAATTACAAAAGACGATTTTTTTAATTTCAGTACAGCGAAAAAGGCCCAGTGGCGACACGAGATAAGAGAACAACAAAGGTTTATCAGTTTCTAACTGTAGGCACGTACTGCGCAAAGCTGTTGAATTACGCTACGAAACCCGACTTGGCTTGGGCTTATCTGTCAACAAGATACCTGAAATGGGCACCTACAGAAAGGTAACTGAAAACAAGGCGTGAGATGCTTTCCGAGCGCCCGCTGATAAATTTAAGATAACGCCTCCAAAGGCTTATCTGCGCTGTTGCCGCGGTATTTTGGACAGGGATATTGAAAATATTACATACTTTAATAACGAAGATAAATAATAATAATGACGTGAATAAAGTAACAGCTTAATTTATTGTATTACTAGCAATACTCCGCGGCTTTGCCCGCGTTCAAGTTACAAAATAAACCAAACTTTTTGGCTTTATGTTATAACTAATAAAATTTGATGGCTAGAGAAAATTATAGTTTACCAAAAAAGTCCCGTGATATCGTAGAAAAAGAGACGATTGAAATACATATGGGGCTTTCCACGTAAAATCGGATGGTTTAAAAAAAAATTGTTTTGAATTTTCTTAATATTTTAGTTATTTAGTACTCTTCAAAAGAGGCTTGAGGCCTGGTAAATTTTGAGATTTTTTGATCACTGGTTCAAAACCGCTCTTTTTATGGTTTTGCTTATAGCTTTCTTAATAATGATCGAAGTTCAATAATTGTTTTTCAATTTTTTTTTGGATTACCTTTACATAAAAAAATATAAAAAAATATTTAAAATGTTGTTATCGAAACTTTTGAATTGTAAGTTTCCAATCGTGTTTTTAAAACTGTGTATATAATTCGATTTTTTTGGAAATTTTCTTTTTTAAACTTATATCCATCATGCAACTTTTAAACCTAGTCCGGTAGTGGGCCTTCCATAATAAGGTACTAATTTTTTTTCGATTTAAAAAAATAATATGATTAAAAAAAGAAAAAAAAGTCAAATATATACATTGGGACATTAACAACACACAGCGCCATCTAGTTCCATGGTAAGCTACGAGGCTTATGTTATGGATACCAGATAGTTGATACACTACACATATATAACTTTAAATACATGCATATTATAAATATAAATACCCATGATTGGAGTACAAACATTCGTCATCACACAAATGAATGCCCCCAGCGGGACTAGAACCCGCGATCGCTGGCACAGAAACTGTCGGTCACTACAAACTGAGCCAAGCGTGTCGTCATCAAAAGTTGATGAAGGAATATATATTATGCAGACGGAGACATACACAAGCACATACATCTCGCGGCAAGGATGTAAACCTGTATGTCTTCGACTGCATATTACTATATACCTTCATCAACTTGTTATTCGAGTTAATGACAGTTGCAACAGTGCCGAAATGTAAGGAAATCCAAAACCATGGCGTTAAACCACCATACAAAATGTCAATTACCGTGAAAGCTTAAAGAAAATATATATACAGAAAATGTATTATTATTATTATTATACATATTAATTTTATACTAGTCGGGACGGGTTCATGTTTTGAATTATAATTAATATTCTTTGAAACTTTTAAGTAACTTAACTAACACTTTAATCTTTCCTTAAAATTTCTATGTAAGTATTTATTAATACTTAACGTTGTTTTACAAGATAGGTTTAAAATTAAGTACTAAAATGTACTTACTAAATTTTCCTTCTTATAGTATACATACGAGTATATGGTATAGTATACACAATACAGTCTTCTAAAGTTCTTTTTGCCCTCCTCGAATAGACATGCTCAAACTATTTTTTGGGACTGTAATTAATGAAAGTTTATTTATCTTTATTTTGTTATTTAAATAAATACAAAGTCTATGTTTACAACTTTTTTATAATTACAAAATTAAAAAAGGTTGTATCGCAAAATTTTAATGTTATTTTAAACACAATTTTAATTACTTAATACAACCAACTGCGACGAATAACAGACTTCGTTCTTATGGGTCACTTGGGAGAGAAGCTTTTTACAGAAAAGAAAACTGCAAACGTTCTTAAATATACTATCTAAAACTTTTAAGCTTATGTTTATACCCGCCAAAAGGCACTAGACTTTGTCAAATATTTGTTGTTTACTGTTTACTAGAACTACAAGTTTTATCGTCCATAGATGGCGACCGTAGCTATAAAGGTGCAAAAGTTTTATGATAATACTTCGCGTTGTCATTTCTTCATCCATTTTACATGAAGCTTCATAAATTACTTAGCTTTTGTTCATTCAGATAAGAAGATTAGACAGACTTGATGAACAACATTTGAAAACATTGAGGTCAACAAAAATAATACCCTCAACTTAGCGGTAAATTTTACTAAAAACGTAGAATAGGTACAAATATAATTACTGGCTCCTGCAACACAGTTTTTAACGAGTACAGGCGCTAGAGAAATCGTTATCACTTGTGTATGTATAAAATTATGTAAATACAGTATTTATTTATTATGACTGTGCAAGTGGCGAATTATTTTTTGGTAAATAATATTAAAAAAAATATTAATATTATAAATGCGAAAGTTTGGATGGATGGATGGATGGATGTTTGTTACTAAATCACACCAGAACGGCTAACGGATCTGGATGAAATGTGGCACAGGGAGAGATTACTTATAGTCTGGAATATCACATAGGTTACTTTTTACCCCGGAAAAATGTACGGTTCTCGTGGGATAGGATGGTTTTTTTTTCACTAGGGACGAACCTGAGCAAAGCGAGGGCAAGTCACTAGTATTTATATAAAAATAAAAAAGTATTTACCCTAAAGTAAAATACAACAAATTATATAATTTAACAATAATTCACGTAGAATCTTTTCTTCTGTTTTCTGATTCTTCTCTTCTTATTGACTCTCGCGTTTACGTATGTATGAAAACACACTCAATATTCTTGAATTGAAGATACTCGTGTAACGTAGGCTTTTGCCAAATATAAGACCCAATGCATAAAGGCGCATTTATGTAGCACAATACACTGAATGTCCGCGGCAAATAATACAGTGTATAGTGAGTGACAAAAGCCTCTTTCTCATTCCGGGTCAACCTTGAACCGAATAAATTGCAAGCAATTTTCGGGCTCGTTTGCCGCGCTCCGGGATGCCAATGATACGCTTCCCAAGGCTCTGTGCTTCATCTCAATTTGTGGATGTCTCATAAAAGACGTTGCGTGCCAAATGTATTGATGTATCGCATTACGGGCCCATTCATAAATTGTTTTTGTCTCTAAGTTTTTTACTACATCGCCTTTACTTACTGGGGAAAGAGTTGCGATATATTTTTCTGTGTGAAAAATGAATTTCTTTAATCATACAAACATATATAATATGAATATTGAAAAATTCTATTTTATATCAGAATCTGAGAAGATCTGACATTCTTGAACATGAGAAGATACATCCTTATAGT